ATGCCAACCCAGTGAAAAGGGCACCTCACTGCTGTGAAAACCATTGTGCCCTCATGGATGCCCGCTTGGTGACCACGGATCACATTTAAGAATCACTCGTTTGAAAGTATATACAAACGAACAGTGTCATAATTAGGAGTTTACCCCAGACTTTTAACTTGGGAACAGATACAAATAAACATAAAGAATTCCTAAAGGGATTGTTTACTCTGTGGCTCAACAAAGACATTCTTTTTTATAAAATTAACTTCTCTGAGACAAGGTAGGTCCCTATTTAAATAAACAGACAAATAAAAGACAAAGTACAGTTACAGCATAGAAGGTATACAGTCAGCTCCTCACTCTCTTACTAGCCCACTGGAAACTGATCATGACAAGACATAATATCAAGTTATCAGCTGAGGCTGGGACATTCTGAGCCCACACACTTCCTGTGGGAGTGAGAACTACAGTTGATCAAGCACACATCCCACAACCCGTCACTTCTTAGGTATACACACCCTAGAAAATCTCTCAAACACATGCCCAAGGAAACATGTACAATAACATTCATTGTAACATATATAAAAACAGCAAAAAACTTGGAAGTAACCTAGACACTCAACAAAAGGATTAATAAAACTGGAACATATTTATGCAACAGAATGTTGTATGTGCATCATGAAAATGAAGAAATTAAAAGTCTAAAATTGGATAAATTTAACAATGTTGGAAGACTTGTAAGTATGGAAATAAGTGTAACGTGTTTATAATCATATATAAGTACAGAAAGATACACAGGATAATAATCATTTACATAAGTTTTTAAAAGAAGGATGCAACTTAGGGATATAAAACATGCATGGAAATAATAAATTCCAAATTCAATTGGTGGTGGCCTCAGCAGAGGGGAGGGATGTGACTGGCAATGGACACAGAGAACTTCAACCTTATTTGTAATACTGTGCTGCTTTAGTTAGGTGATGGTTACTCAATACGTTACTCTTTAAACATTTTTGGATGTCTGGTATAATATCTTCATAATTAATTTTTTTCTATGAGAAGTTAAAATTTAGCAGAGAAAAAAAGTTAGTAGGGCCAAAAAATTCTACATTAAATTAGTAGGATGTATTTGTTAATGAAGTAATGGTTCAAACTCACTGTCATTTAACATTGAGAATATAACTGTAAACTGAGAATATAAAATGTTGCTTAGTGCATGTTAGCTAATACATACTGGCTAACAGAAGTAGCTAAATGTAGTGTGATACAGGGGAAGGGAGCGGATAAAAGAGGAGCCAAAGCAATGAAGAAGTGGAAGCTGATGGGACAGACGAGGACTCTGGATGAGGTGGTCCTGAGGGGCCCCCGTAACTGCATCATGGGATCCATCATGTCCTATGGTCTCAGGACACCATGAGGATGCCCTCTAACACACCAACCAGAGGTCTGACGGGGGGCTTTTACCAACATTCTGACCCTGTGGCCACACAACATGCTTAGAAAAGCACACTCAGGTTAAAGAGACCAGGCTGCTGGAAGCCATGGCAGGAGCCAAAGAGGATCAAGGTTTGCTCGTAACACTTGTGACCCATTCACTGCACACCAGTCCCAGCAGAGAAGTCATGGAATACTGCTGTATCCACACAACAGTGTGAGACAGAAAATGAGTACCTTTAAAGTCAGGAAAGAAAATAACTGCCCACCTAGAATTTCAAACGAATCAAATCTATCCATCAAAAATGATGGTGAAATAAAGACATTTTCACACACCCACTCAGACACACACACCCACACAATCAGACGTCAGTAGGCCTACACTGAAAGAAACACTACAGGGAAATCTTCACACAGGTTATGCAAGGAGAGGTTAAAATCTTATTTGATACCATTTGCAAGAGATACATCTTAAAATATAAGAGCACAGAATGGCTAAAGAAAAAGGGTAAAAAAAACACGCAAATATCAAGCAAAAGAAAACTTGTAAAGTCATCTTAATCTCTGACAAGGGAGAGTGAAGGCAAGAAACATGACTCAAGACAGAGGATCACTTTATAATAACAAACATGATGATCCATTAAAAAATTCATAAGAATTATAAATAAAACACAAAAAAGACACAGCTCTAAAATATAAGAAGCAAAAATTGACACATCTACAACCACAGTGGGTTTTTAACAGACCTCTCACAGGAGCTGATAAAGCAGTCAAATACCCTTATCAACTATCCCTAACAAGAAATAGAAAAAAGGGAGAAAAAAATCCCAAAATAGAAGAAAAGAAAGATAAAAAACTAGAATAAAAAAGTTTTTTTAAATAGAAAATAAATGTGCAAGAGAAAAAAGTCAAAGTAGCTTGTTCTTTGAGAAAAACTAAAATAAATAAAAGAGCTTTTAGCAAGACTCATAATGGAAAATCAAAGAAAGCACAAATTCCAATCAAGAATGAAAGAAGGCCAGTACTAAGGATTTTACAGACAATAAAACAATGAGAGAATATTATTAACAACTCTGGCCCAATTAATTTGAAAAAGGACAAACAACCAAATTTCTAGGAAAACACAACTTACTAAAACTGACAAAGAAACAGAAAATCTGAAAACACAAATACATATTAAAGAAACTGAGTATGTAACTCAGTGTCTACTCCAATCTTTTGCTAAATTTTTTCCAAATAATTTGTTTTATTCTTGGATATAAGTGTTTTTCAGAAATATGATTCAGAAACATTTTCTCTCCATCTGTGGCTTATCTTTTGATGATTCTTGATGGGTTTTGGAAGTTTTAATTTTAAACAAGTACAGTTCATCCATTTTTCTCTTTTATTACTTGTGCTTTTGGTGTTCTCTCTAATCAACCTTCATTATTAATTAAAAAGTCACAGCAAACTAGGAATAAAAGAATTTTTTTGATCTGATAAACAGCAATTATAAAATACCTATACTCAACATCACTTTTAATGGTCAATTATTTCTTCTCAGAGATCAGGAAATTATACAGATGGGAACAGATGTACTAGTCAGTGTAATAAGAGAGGTTTTTTAATTGCAAAGATCAGAAAGAAAAAAAATAAAACTGTCATTATTAACCGATGACTTAATTATACATGAAAAATAGCCAAAGGAATTTACAAATCATGAAAATAAGTGAATTTAGTAAGGTTGCTAGATACAAGTTCAATATATGAAAACCAACTGTCTTTCTATATAGTAGCAAAAAAATTTGTGCAATTTTAGAAAGATATCATTTATCTTAACATTAAAAAGATCAAACAGCCAAGGAATAAATCTAATAAAAGATGTATAAGATCTTGACACAAAAACCTACAAAATCTAAATTAAAGCAGTCCTAAGTAAATGAAGAACTACATCGTGTTTATGGAGTAGTACTGTATGGAGTGTTGGTAGACTCCATGCTAAAATAAGTAAATTCGCTCCAAATTAATAGAGTCAGTGTGGTTCCAATCAAAGCCCTAATGCTTGCAGAAACTGACAAAATGAATATGCAAAAGCCTAATAATAGTCAAGATAACTCTTGAAGAAGAAAAGGTTGAAGAATGAAGAAAAAGTTGAAGCATTTATACTAAAAGATACACTGTAAAGCTACAGTCGTTAAGAGAACTTCAAATTGGCTCCAAGATAAACAGAGCAATGGAACAAAACAGCAAGTCCAGAAAATATCTGCCTTATTTATGACAAAGATGGCACTGCCGGAACATGACAATAAATGGGAATAAGGCCACTGGAGGTTCATATGGGAAAAAATAGTTCTTGACCCTTCATGTCATATACACAAGCAAATCAATTAATGGTGAATTACTGCCTAAATGTGAAAGGTCAAACAATTAACTTCTAAATGAAAACATCCAAAGATATCTTCAAGACATTAGTAAAAAGATATTTAAAAGATTTCCCCAAAGACTTCTAAAAGGAAAACACTATATTTCACTAAAATTAAAATCTTCTGTTCCTCAAAAGATACCATTAAGCAAGGGTATATGGAAGTGAAAGAATGGGAAAAGTTATCTGAAATACATGTGCCCTGTGCGTATAAAGAGCTGTAAATCGGGAAGATAAATTAGCCAACCATAAAATACAAGTCAATGATACAGATAATTCACAAAAGAGGGCATCACACCAGCTAATAAAGACATGAACAGGAATATGACATAATTAACCAACAAGGAAGCATAAATTAAAAACACAATTTTATAAGCAATACAGAGTTAAAGTGTTAGTGAAGGTACGGAGCATTGAAAACTCTGATTTAATGCTGCTGGGGGTAAAAATCACTTTGGAAAGCAATCCCACCCCAAGTGCACACATGCATCAGAAATGCATGATATGTAACTAAAAAAACATGCACAATACATATAAAATAAACAAGCTTATACTGTACAGCGCAGGGAAATATATTCAAGATCTTGTAGTAGTTCATGGTTAAAAAAAAATATGAAAATGAATATATGTATGTTCAGGTATGACTGAAGAATTCTGCTGTATAGCAGAAACTGACACAACACTGTAAACTGACTGTAACTCAATAAAAAAAACGCACAAGCACATTCATAGAAGCATTATTCAGAACAGCTGAAACCAGCAACACCCCCAAATACTCACCAACAGCATAACAAACTGCGAAATACTCCCAAATATGATCACCCTATTCCTAGGTGAACAGTACGTACTGAACCCCGCAAACATGCTAAGTAGAAGTCAGCCTTAGACCACATGCTGGATAATTCCAGTTCCATAAAGTTTGAAAACAGGCAAAATTAGTATTTGGTAATAAAAATCAGAAAAACACCCAGCATCTTTTGGGGGAGAGATGGTTAATGAGAAGAAGAGGCGTAAGGAATGCACTGTGGTGTGTTGGTATGGGTAGTGTTCATTTCTTAATGTGGGCGGTGACTGCACAGGTGAGTTCATTTTGCAGAAATTTATTACATGCTTATAGTCTGTGTGATTTTCCATATGTTCATTATAATTCAATTTTTAAAAGTTTATGTTAAAAATACTCCTTCTGCAGCCAATTAAGCCCGCCATGCTCTTTTCCCCAAGGAGGCCTGGTGTGCAATGGCTGCAGACAGGAGCCCCCTCAGTAGTGCACACAGCCTGCTGCTTGTGTGGACTGCCCTACAGGACCTTGGAGACAGCGCTTTCCAGTGGACATTCATGTCTAACTTCACGCTGTCCCCAGTCTAGGCTCCAGACAGGTATGCAGGGTGCCTCCGGAAAGTCCCAGCACACAGGGCCCAGGGGCCACACTGGCCAAGTCCTCGTGTCCACCCACACCAGCTGCAGAACAAGGAGCATGTGCATGTGTGTTAAATGAATATAACAACAAGAAATGGCTGAACTTAATTAAACCAAGAGTAAGTTTAATTTGAAATTAAAAAAAAAAGAAAATAGAACAAACTAACAATCTGAGTATGAAGTGATGAGAAAACACGACATTAGAAGTGAAAAGTAGATCTACACCAGAAATTAACACAACATTGTAAACTGACTCTTCTATGATGAAAAAGAAAAAAAGTGAAAAGTGGAAACTGTCAAGAGATAATGATGATTTTGGAATTACAAGATAATGTATGTAACTTTATATTGTAAATAAAAATGTATTGAAACATAATCATTTGACTTATAAAATTATTAGCAAAATCAACCCAAGAAAAGACAATAAACATAAATTTTGAAATATAGTATCTTTCACATATAATTTCTTTGCCCCGAAGGCACTAGACTCAGATCATTTAGGGCTGCATTCTCTTTTCCAAGGTCAGAAGTTTTCCTGTTACTTAAAACATTTTAGATAAAGATAGAATAAGCTGCCCTGTTTACTCCATGAGATTAGTGATGCTAAAATATTAGTACAAAGGAAGAATACAATGGTTCAATTTCACTTGATACACATACAGAAATCCTAAGTAAAATGTGAAAAAAGCAAGTATAGAAATATGCTCAAAAATATAATTAAGGAATACAAGAATGACTTAACAGTAGAAGTGTATTAATTCATCACGTGAATTGATTAGAGAAGGACAGGATGATGATTTCAGTGTATGATAAAAAGGCATGTGGTGTATCTTGATGTTATGCTTCCTAAAAACTTAGCTCAAGTGGATACTTTTAAAACTTCTTAAGACTATCTGTTAGGTTCTCATTAATATGAGAAACAAGATTTCTAGTATCCTGTTTTTGTTTAGTAATTTGAAGGTCTTGAAAAGTGTGATTAAAAAGAAAAAGGAGTTTTGTATAAGTTAAAGGAAGGGACAAAATTATAATTGGGTGATACGGCTGTTTACCAGAGAACTCAAGAACATCAACCGAAAGACTGCTCTGGTGCCTCAGAAGATAAATGTGTAAAAGCCAGTAACTTTCTTATATCCTAACAACAGGTTTTATCTATAGCTTGTTCAAAATCCATTAACTCTTGTATCCTAACGAGAAATACGCAACATAATGTATGTTCACAGATGGATATGTGTGATATGAAATGAAATAACTGAATGACCGTGCTGTACACCTGCAACCAACACAACACTGTCAGTCAACCACACTTCAACGAAAAAAAGAAGAGCAGAGTTGGAGGGCTGATTCTTCAACCTCCTGATACAATTCACTTAACAGTCCTTTAACCTCTTGGGAAGGCAGCTGTATCATTAAAATAAAAAGCACTGAGCTCACTTATATGTGGAAACTAAAAAGGAAAAACTCAGAAACAGAAGACGGTGGTGGTTGCTAGGGTTTAGGAGTGGGGGAAACTGGGAGGTGTTGCTCACAGGGAACAGATCACCAGTTACAAGACTGACAGGTTTGGGGACCAGTGCTCAGCATGGCGATTACACAGAACACTAGATCACGTACCTAAATGCTGCTGAGAGAGCAGGTCTTAAATGTTCTCACCAGGCACACACAAACTGGTGACTGCGACGGGGGCGGAGGAGGTAGCTGACAATATCATGGTACTCAGTTTGCAATTTACAGAAAGATCTCATCAACACATCAGACGCCTTAAACTCACACAATGTCGCATGCCAATTATATCTCAGTAAAGCTGGGGGACAATGAGCTGGAAAGGCTGGTTCTATTTCACATGGTTGCTGCGGCATTCATGAAATTACACAGAGGAAGGGACTTTGGAAATTTTAAACAGCTTCTATAATAAAAAATACTGTTAATATTTTAAAACCTACTTGAGCAAGAATACAGGAAGGCATAGAAATGTAATGATACAGCTTCATGAATAGAAAATCTGAATAAAACATGGCAAAATGTGGTACATTATTTGGTTTTAGTTTATTTTGATAAAGTGAGTATTAACAGTATATGAGAGCAGGGATGAAGAATTAGTGATAGAGTGCAGGCTTAGCATGAACAAGGTCCAGGTTTCAATCCCCAGCACCTTCATTAAAATCAATAAATAAAAGCCTAATAATTACCTCCCTCCTAAACAAGAATAATAAAAAAGAGCACAGGGAACAACCTAAATGTCCATCTACATGACTGGATAAAGAATATGTGGTATATCAATAAAAAATGTTAAAAAAATTAAAAAAATAATGTGGTATGTATTTATACAATGGAATACTACTCAGCCATAAAAAGGAGTAAAATTCTGCCATTTGCCACAACATAGATGAACCAGGAGGGTATTATGCTTAGTGAAAAATGTCAGACAGAGAAAGACAAACACTGTATGTTAGCACATATACATGGGGTATAAAAAAATCAAACTAATGAATATATATATATATATATATATTTTTAAAGCATATGCTACACCTTCGAACAACAACTATCAATGGGGGAGTGGGGACGGGATGAGGGCACACTTAGATGGGCTTGGCACCCAGACTTCCACGGGTGACTGTCACGTAAAGGAAACTTTCCTATCTTTTGGGAGTTGTTGAAGGGAAAATCTGAGAAACTTAGGTTCTGGAGTAAAATTAATAATACCTTTTACCTATTATTTGGAAGCAGTTCTTTTTCAAGAACTGTGTGAAGCACTTTACAGACATCATCCATTATCTTATATCAGAGCCAAGCCTTTGCTTAGGAGAACCAGAATACTTAATTCATTTTCAAACTGAAGTATTGTCAGTTTACAATGCTGTGTCAATTTCTGGCGCACAGCACATAATGAGTAATTCATGATTAACAACTTCAACCAGATGCATTACTTTCAAAGCTGAAAGATGAGAATGTACTACCCAACAGCCAGATGTTCCCATGTGTAAGTTACAAGCAGACCAGATGTAAGAGTAGAAATATCCTGTTATCTCTAGACTTTACTTGAAAGCAAGCATTGTATCAGACACTCTCCTACCCTCTGTGCCTGAGCCCTATGCTAATTAGAAATAAGCTTAATGAGAGAATGAAGGAGGTACGAGTCAATGAATGAAGAAGTTTGCTGCCCTGCTAGAGGTTAAGTCGGATAAAACCATGCTGAGCAACTACGCCTTCTCTGCACGGGGGAGAGTACTGACAGCCTCCTAGAGGGACTTACTCCAGTATTTACCAACTAACAGAGTCATCAGTTCATCTTCAAATGTCATACCAAAATTTTGATCCAAATCTATCTCAGTTCTCTCCGTAAAGCAGAGAAGGGCTAGTCCACATACCACGTAGCGCTCTGGAGTCTGGATTCCTGTGTTTACTTCGTTCCTTGTCCTGCTCAACCCTAGGCAAAAGGGTTTCCAGGAAGGGGTTTCTCATTTTTAATATACTTTCTTTTGTATAGTTGGTTTACAATGTTGTGTTAGTTTCTGGTGTACAGCATAGTGATTCAGTGATTCCTTTTCATATTCTTTTTCATTACAGGTTATTACAAGATATTGAATAGAGTTCCCTGTGCTGTACAGAAGGTGATTGTTGTTCATTTCATATATAATAGTATCTGCAATAATAGACTTTTAATCATCTTAGATTTTTTTCATTTTCTGAGTCCATCTTTATGTCCTAGTGAAGTTAGAAAATCTAAAATTGAGCGCAGTAATTTGATGTGAAGTTAGTTGAGTCAGGGCCAATGGGCACGGGAGTGACTGAATCAAGCATTCAGGTGCTTTTTGAATATGTATATCCTGATCTCCTTTTTTTTCCTGAAATGATTGCTATTTCTCCTCACTTCGGACCCAGGGCATCTAGGAATGGCCATCTGAAAACTGAAGGGAAACCAACAAAGCAAGATCTGAAGTCAATTCAGAGATCTCTTTGGCTTTTTGATCCATGTTTATGGTCATGATCAGATCAGAGGGGCAGAGGAGAGCCCAGGGGTCAGATCCCACCCACCACCTCTTTTTGCTGTCTGGGAGCTAAGAATGGTTTTTGTGTTTTTAATGGTGACATTTGACAATTATGCAGGTATGCGCACTATCCTTGATGTTGACTCCTGCTCAGCAGCGCCTAAAATATTTACTATCTGACACTTTAAGGGAAAATTCCCCAACCTTCCCTCTTGACAAATTTTTTTTTCATAAGAAGAGGATCTTAAAGCTCTTGTGAAACAGTTATACTATTGGTAGGAGGGAACGTGGGTACGGAGTTCTCCGGGAAGCACTTCTGGCTGTAACCCACTTAGAATCTTCTGTCTGGAATCTGTCACTTAGGATGTTCTTTGTCACTAATTGTGTGGCTTCTTTCCTCATAAACCATGGATGGCCGTTTCCTCCCAAGCCAAAACATTTTAAAAACAAACAATTCAGATAGAGCAAAACGGAAGACAACGGGAGTTTGGTATTTACCGAGACAAAATTTTTTTTCATATATTCAGTTTTCAAAAAAAGGCAGAACTGAGAGCATCTTGGAGCAGCGCCCACCGTGCTCCACCCTGGAGGAGATGGGAGGTGGGAGGAGGGGTCAGGAGCTCCCCAGAAGCAGTTTAAAGTGAGACCCCCTCCAACTTCTCCGCTCCTGCCCCCAGGCACTGAGCCTCTCTGCCTTGCTGAGCAAATGCTCTCCCAGGGAGCACACACAGCCACCCCTCCGGGGCACCGACTGGGGAAACCAAGGAGCTGTTACAAAGCCCTCCATGCAGAAAGCTAAGCATCTCTCATCCGGTTGTTAAACCAAGTCTGAGGCAAGATCGGCTCCACCAAGAGGGGTGCTTAGACAAAAACAAATCAGACTAACACCTGGACTGCAAACCTAGCTGTAACG